TAGGCAACGAGGTTTGCTACAGGGATAGGTTCCTGGGTTGGTGTTTCTGTGGTGTGGTGTGTAGTTGCTGGGGCACATCTAGTTGAGGGGCACTAGGGGACAAGAGCTGAGGAAGCGTTGTTCTAAGTCAGCCATAAAAATGTTGGCATACTGTGGGGCCATGCAGGTAACCATGACTTGAAGGTATAAGTTGTCCCCAAATCTGAAGTGTCAGTATATAATGCCTGCATCTGTTGTTTAGTATCAAAATGGCTCACCTTGGACTTGGTGAGTCTGTTGCTAGCTCTAATGTAAAATTAGCATTAAGAATATTAATATTAAGATGAAGACAGAGTGAAGTAGTACAATAGGTTTTTACTCCGGAAAGAGCTTAAAATCAAACTTAAATCACACATTAGAACAAATTTAGTCTCATTTTAACCACATTGAACCCTCTTTGGAATGTCTGATCAAAGTGTCTCAGGCCTTCTATTTGCCAGTAGGGGAAACAGCCCATATTTCCCAAAATCTGGTGTGAATGGCTGAAATTGCTGGTTGAGTTAAAGGTGAGTGCTTTATGGTTTGATCTTGCCTCACTGAGCCTTTAATTTTTTAAAACACCTGAGGATATGGGCTGTTGTAGAATGCCTATTCATTCTGTTCTCAATCTCATTATAGGTTATTCGGGATCAGGAAGAAATCTTTTTTTTTTTAAAAGTCCTACATTCTGTGGATTAATTTCTTACTGGTTCAGTTAATTATTATATTTCTTTTTAGAACTTTTGGAAAAAACATGCACTTACGTTTAGTGCTTGCAAGAAAAATGAACAGCGGAGGTTAGTGGGGTTTGTTAATGTTATTATGAGACCTGTATTCTATTTATGGCTCTGCAGTTTACTCAATATATGATTTTGAGCCTAGTAACTTAATGCTCTACACCTTCGTTTCCTCATCTGTAAAATGAGGATAATAATCCTTGCTCATTTATATGTAAAACATATTGAAATCTATGGATGAAAAGCACTGTATATGAAAACATTAATAAATAATATTTTTATCCACATAATTTTCTGCCTGAGTCTAGTGCAATATTACCCTAATAGGGATAATAATGGTCATCAATGTTTTTAAATAGTATGTTAGACTAAAAGTTGAATTGCCCTATTCAAGATCTTTGTGGGATTTTCATATATGCCAAGGATCTTTAATTTGCATTTTTGTTGTTGTTAGGATTCAGATTCTTAAAACTTCATTTGAAAAGCACATCTCCCACAGTGTTAACTATGAGGAAAATATTTTTACTTCTGAGGTATGACATTTGTTCTGTTTAGTTTTCTTTTTATTTCTTACATTATGTCACCTGATGACTTCTTTATAGGCCAAGTCTTTACCTCCAGCATTATACTAATGTCCTCTAGATACTTTTTAATAACTTTTTTCATTAATTTGACCATAACTTGTGCAACATTAAGCGCCTAACTTTACCCTTTTAGAAGAGATGAACACCTAACTTGATAATCATGGCACAAATTTCATGGCCAGGCGGTATAGTTTATATTACATTCTGCCGCTTTACCTTACCAGTGTTTCAGTTATGCAGGAAAGAATCAATTGGAAACAAGCAGTTTGGCAACTGTCCTCTCAGTTTTTCTCTCTTCCTCAAGTTTTTTCCTGCCTCACAAATAAAAAACATCAAGCACCTCTAGCTTAAATGCTACCTTTTAAGGCACCCAAACTTGTAGTTCTTTGGGGAATATAATTAATATCTTGAATTTCACCAGGGAGAGAGTGAGCAGTAATTGCAGTCTTTTGGAGTACTGTTGTAATATGTTCCTTGTAACCAACACTGCTTAGTGAACAGGACACTGTATTGTACTCTAGGTGTATCTCCTGAGTGGGGCTAATCTTGAAATCTATATAGAGACCATTACAATAATCTGAAAATCATAAATGACAATGTCCATATCGGAGAGAAATGGGTACTCACAAACAGATGAAAAAATGTCACTTGCGGCTACAAAGGTCACACAAGGTCTCCGAAATAATGAAAGATCTGGAAGATCCAGAATTACCTTTAAGTTGTTAACTCCTTTGACAAAGGGCTGCTATGCTTCCTCAGTCAAGGGGGAATCTCTAGATGTTTTCCTTTATTCAACATCTTTGCTATATGTAGATAGAATTGTTTGAGATTCAATCATATCTAGGGCCCTGATCTTGAAAACACTTAAGCATGTGCTTATCTTTACTCATGTATGTAATCCCATTGAAGTAAGTGGAACTACATATGTATTTAAAATTAAGTACTTGCTTAAGTGCTTTGTTGCATAAATGCCTGCTCCTTGCAGGATCAATCCCTAAACCCTTGTCTCAGCCAATCTGAGGGGAAAAGTTGTCTGAGTGCAATAGAGAAGAGGTAAAATTTCATGTTTGCATACTTGTGGCACCCAAGCTAATGCTAATGTCAGAATTTGGAGTAGATGCCATAGTACTTAGTTGCTTCTGCCCTAAAAAGATTAATATTTCCCACCAGTTTTCTGGACAGCCTTATTTTGACCAATGGGAAGACTGAGCATTAGTACAATCTGATTTTACATTTAATTTGAGGGCATAATTGTCTTCATTAAAATGTATTGTCACTTGTGAAAAGAAAACGTGTGTGTACATGACATATGTTGTCAATTTTTATAGATGCATCTAATGAAAGAAGACATGAAAGGGCTTCAAGAGAAGCTTCTTAAAGAAATGGTAAATAATCTTGTTTTGTCTCAATTTGTTTTTGTATGCTTTCCTAAAAGAACATAATTATCTGCACATTCACTTTTTTAAAAGTTCCTTTCAAGATGCAATTTCTAGTACACTGTAATTTGAAGCAAAAATGGAAATACTAATAAATAGTATCATTAAAATAATGCTTAATTTTTAGTACATTAAAAGTGATATATGTATATACTCTTTTAGTTATGTAGTGCCTCATTTGGGTTTTAATAGAGTTAATATTAGCACAAGAAGGAAAAAAGAACATTCTAATGTTGCAATATCTGTCTGAATTCTGTGATACTTTTAAAAAGTTTGTTTTAAAGTGTATAATAAATGTGATACTGTTCTACCATAGCATGAAGAGGAGCTGTTTAATGTTCGCAGAGGATTGCAGACACTGTTTCTGGCAGAAGGGAGAAAATTCTAATATCGTAAATTCATATATTTTTGAAAATGTTTGTTTATATTAAGATTACTTTTTACTAATGAGAAGTTTTGACAATTGCATATTTACTGAAAGCTTTTTAAAGAAGTGCTATTTTAAAAGGATCTTCACATACTAAATTAGGAATATTTATTAACAAGGGGTCATTTTAAAAGGTTTATTTATTGGCATAGAAAAGAGGAGCAATTTGCAATTAAAACTGAAGTAAGTGTCATGTTTTTGATTTGCATGTGTACATAGGACTGCTATAGCAATTAATAGGAGCTGTGTTGTACATACCCAGACACAGAATTTGACCATACATTCTTTAGCACATGAAAAGGAGATCAAATGGCATTTTTGAAAGTTGTATCCTATTTACTTATGGTATTAGCTTTCAGTTGGAATTTGTCATTGACTAAAAATGTTTTGTAAAAATATATATATGTTTTAACCATATTGAAAATGTGTATTAAACATTTCAGAAAAAATATACTTTTGTGTCTTTTTTCACATTTACAAATTTGTGGCATTATCACAAGGCCTAAGCAAACTGGTGCATATTTTAGGCCATTTTGAACTCAAAGTCTCTGTAAATCTATGATTGGTAAAGCTCTCTAAAACAGATCGTCCAGGATGGCCTGCCCTTTGTATAGAAATACATCACATTAACCAGACTATACATCTTCCTTTTTTTCCCCCTAAACCACACCTGACTAAAGATGAGACAGTATTGCACACACTCAGTGTCAAGAGGACATTAGCTTTTTACCTGGACAGGACTAAGCCATTTAGAAAATCTCCCATGTTGTTTGTGTCTATTGCTGACAGGTCCAAGGAATCTCCAGTTTCCAATCAAAAACTCTCTGGATGAATATCTTTTGCTATCATTCTAATGATCTCCAACCTCTTCCTAAAGTACTAGGTCTCTTTCTGCTTCAGCAGCCTTTCTTAAGAATGTCCTCATAACTGAGCTCTGTAGAGCTGCAACTTGTATCTCCATATGCACTTTTTCTAAACATTGTGCAGTAATTCAGACTTGGCTTTAGATGCCGTGATTGGCTCTACTATACTATCTTCCCTTTTGGACTCTATTCAGAACTCTATTTCCATTCCACTAGAGCAGTGGTCCCCAACCTCTGGATGATGCTGCTTGTTGGCGGCATTTCAGCGGATGCTCGTCCATTGGCCAGTACGCGGGCACACTTGGATGCCCCGGTGGGCACCATGGCACCCCCGGGCACCGCGTTGGGGACCCCTGCACTAGAGGGTATTGCTCAGTAGTCACCTGAAGTGGAGTACCTGGGGGACACTACTCAAAGAAGGAGAGGTTACTCATCCTGTGCAGTAACTGTAGTTCTTCAAGATGTGTGTCCCTAGTGATGCTCCACTACCCGCCCTCTTTCCCCCCTGCTTTGGAGTTTCTGCTATGGAACTTTGCAGTAGAGAAGCAACTGAGGGTGGTTTGCCCATGCAGCTCTATATAGCCTTGGTGTGGCACATGGAGTTGTGTAGGGTTCATGTGTGTACTGAACAAGCACTACTACTTAAAATCTTACCAAAAGCGCATGTGCACCTGCAGTGGAGCACCTATAAGACGACGTATTTTGAAGAACTACTGTTACTGCACACTGTGAGTAACCTTTTCTTCGGCTAGCATAACTCCATTGACTAAATTTTAGTTACCCTAGCAAAGAATTTGGTCTGTTTATTCCAATTCACAATTATTGAGATCATCCTAATCAGACAATTCCCTAATAACTATTACCTTTCCTGTAATCTGCACCTCTGTATTATTGTTCCACTCTGGTTTTGTTGAACTTTCACTGCATGTACTGTGTTTATTGATTTATGGTGCTTGGTTACACTTGTGTGAAGCTGTTTTCTGTTCCAAAATTGGTACTGATTCCATTCTTTATATTTGTTAACTCACTCAGTTTCAGTTAATTTTGCATTGGTGGTCACATCAATAAATACCAGTTTCATTAAGGTGCTGTGCCTTCCACTTGCTGCTACGAATTTTGTATTATTTACTTGGTGTTATGTTTGCTTCTCTATTTTGAGTAGATATATGAATAACTTGATTATAGGTCTGATCCTTTAAAGCAGTGGTTCTCAAACTTGGGCCGCCGCTGCTTGTTCAGGGAAAGCCCCTGGCGGGCCGGGCCGGTTTGTTTACCTGCTGCGTCCGCAGGTTCGGCCAATTGCGGCTCCCACTGACCGCGGTTCGCCGCTCCAGGCAGTGGCATGGGCCGAGGGACGTGCTGGCCGCCCTTCCTGCAGCCCCCATTGGCCTGGAGTGGCGAACCGCAGCCAGTGGGAGCCGCAATCAGCCGGACCTGCAGACGTGGCAGGTAAACAAACCTGCCCGGCCCGCCAGGGGCTTTCCCTGAACAAGCGGCGGCCCAAGTTTGAGAACGACTGCTAGGGGACGAGAGCTGAAGAAGCATTGTTCTAAGTCAGCCAATAAAAATGTTGGCATACTGTGGGGCCATGCGGGTACCCATAGCAGTGCCACTGACTTGAAGGTATAAGTTGTCCCCAAATCTGAAGTGGTTGTGGGTGAGGACAAAGTCACAAAGCTCAGCCACCAGGCTTGCTGTGGCCTCATCAGCTCTCGTCCCCTAGTCGCCCTCCTCCACTTAC